CATTTGCTCTGTTCCTCTAGGTTTAAAACAGCTTGATTGCACTAAGAACTTCCTGGAAACTATACCTCCTGAACTGGGCAGTATGGTTTCATTAGAACAACTTTATCTAAGGAGAAATAAGTTGTGCTACCTGCCAGATTTTCATTCATGTACATATTTAAAGGTAGGATTTGTTTTCTTTAGCAGATAATTGAGATGTGAATTGAATCCAGCAGTTTTTATCAAAATGAAAATATCCGTGTCACAATATCAGTTCCAACTCTTCTATACCTACATGCAATACTGAGATAAGCATTTTGTTGTTTGTCCTTTTCAGACATCCACAGCAGACAGTGGTGATATAAAATCTCACAGTTCAAGATTGTAACAAACGCTATCATGTTCTAGAAAGATTGGAGGAGAAGTCATTTATTAAGTTGGTGAAAAAGAAATTGTGACTGAGTTGGCACTATCTTCCCTCTTTTCAATGTACTTGACAATTCAACATACAGTAAATTATGGAATAAACTGCTGGCCATTATTTCAGTTCAAGGAGCACATTTCTATTTTGTATGGTGTATATACCTCAGAGGGTAAATGAAAGGAATATACTTATTCATTAGTTGAAGAGGAAGAAGTAGTAGAAGAAGAGAATTAAAAGAATAATACTGGGGCCCCGTAGACGGAAATCAATCTCAATCTCAATCTCAATCTCAATCTCAATCTCAATCTCAATCTCTCTCTCTCTCTCTCTCTCTCTCTCTCTCTCTCTCTCTCTCTCTCTCTCTCTCTCTGTGGAAATGAATACATTTACAAGTTAATTGCAATTATATGAATATAATTTTTTCTTAAATGAGATTATCAGAATTGTAATCATATTTGTGGAGGAACAGGTGTGATTTAGTTCACAATAATCTTTATGTATTTAACGCTTGTAATATTACAATACAATATCACATTTAAGGAACTCTGAAATAATGCATATTATTGCTTTTAAACTTATAAAATCACAAAAAAATTTATTGGCATATTCTGCTTCTTAGATTACTTTATCTTAATACGGTAGCTGTAAGGACAATATTTCTTTTTTATTTTTCTAGGAATTGCATGTTGGTGAAAATCAGATTAAAGTATTAAGAGCTGAACAACTGAAGTATCTGAATTCCTTGTGTGTGTTGGAACTAAGGGACAATAAGCTGAAATCATTGCCTGATGAAATTACTCTGCTACAGGGATTAGAACGACTAGACTTATCCAACAATGATATTAGCAAGTAGGAAGCATATTTATTGTTATTACTTGTGGAGGGAGAAACATTATATGTTAACTGAGTTCAAAATTACACTTTGCCTTTGGAAAGTGTGTTATTCATGAAACTGTAGAAATAAGAGTCTTTTCTAATAAGTTGAAAATAATGAATGATAGAAATAATTATACTGCAGTTACTTGGTTTGATGGATATAATCTCTGAAATAACCCCTTTATGTTGTCAGTCTTCCTTGTAAACTAGGAAACCTTTCTCAGTTGAAATTCTTAGCGCTGGAAGGAAATCCTTTAAGAGCAATCCGAAGGGATATTCTACAAGTAAGTATACATAACGTACATACCACATTACTTATTTCTGATCCTTTAGAATTATAATATAAACTACCTATGCTTTTAATTCTTTCATTTTAGAAAGGAACACAAGAAATGCTGAAATACCTTAGAAGCAAAATACAAGGTAAATAATTTATTTATAAGTCAAAAATTATAGTTAATTGAGACTTTGGAATATTTGTCGGATTCTCATTTGTTGAGAAATGTTTTAGCAATTTTAACGGAAATTTTCCAAAAATTTTATTTTGGAAAATATAAGTGCCAAGTAAACATGCAGCCTTCCTGGATGGCAGAGCAAAATATTGTGAACATTACTGATCACTTATTTATTGAAATATCCTTTTATTAGCAGAACTGGGTCAATAGTTTTGAAGATTTTTCAAAGAATAATTCCAAATATTTTCCAAGGGTACTATATTTAGAACAGACCTAAATTTGGGAGGGAGAATTTAGCCTGGTTTGAAACAATTACTTTTGGTGATGGACAATCTCAAAAGTGAGAACAAATGTATTCACTCTACATTTGGTTCTGTCTACAACAACTATTCAACACTAGGAATTTTCCAGTCCATTTAATTGAACAAGTTTGATTTTTGAATGCACCTATATAGCATGCATCCCAAATGAAAAATACTTAAGGTTGAATATTTTAATCTTTTCTGTTAAAACACAGACTAAATGTATTGGTAAAATTTGAAATAATCTTAATAGATTTTATGTGAACTTACATTTTTTTTGTAGATGATGAAATAATTAACCCAAATGGAGAATTTCCCGTGACAGCAATGACTTTGCCAAGTCAATCCAAAATTAATATGCATGCTATTACTACGCTGAAGACATTAGATTATAGGTAAGAATATTTTAATTTTATAAGAACCAGATTTTTCTATCATTCCCTGCCTCTGGAATGTCTTTCACCTAAAACTGAATGAATCAACCTCTTTGCTGAAAATTTGAAATTCTTTAAAACAGATTTTAATTTTAATTTTTAATTGTTAGTTTAATATTTGTATTAATTGTGTTAGGTTTTTTTTTTACTACAACCAACCTTAAGAAAATGTTAGAAGTATAAAAGCACAATAAAAATAAACAAATTTATGAAAGTATTCAGCTTCAGGGTGGATGTGTACCCGAATCTTCTTGAACTATAACATTATTTGAATTTGTTTAGAACTATCTATGAATTCAACCGTTTTGGTTTATAGAATATAACCCGTGGAATCAATCATTACAACTTAATTAAAAAAAACATGGTTTTCAAAAATTCTGGCTTGAGATGAATGCGTGAGCCCAATCTGGCCCCGAAGAAGTCACTTATATCAGGAAATTTCTTATTTATACTTGAGTGAAATACGGCAATTCATTTCTGTTACATGAATTGCATTTTCTATTTAAATTATTGTTATTGAGGTCAAGAGTTTTGTCAAGCAGACATCATTGCAAAGACTAAATAAGTCAGCCCAGTGTTAGTTGTGATATAGCTATCCTGACTTGTGATTTCGTAGGTTAATGTCAGCCATCCCATTTAGCACATTCAACAAAAGAACCTCCTGGCTCTTTAGCGTTGCCAAGATTTTAGCTTTATTGAAAGATCCATCTAGGCACAGCAGAAGCAAAGTCAGTTCTGGGATTTTCCCATGAAAACCCACATAGTGAAACCTCTTTTCCCCCTTCTAAGCCACCTACAGTTCATAGTTCACCATGTAGTTCTTTTATTTTGGGGGAAAAAATTCTGCGCTGCTCAAACAATTTTCATAACTTGACCTTGGTGGATAACGTCTCGCCGGCAACAGAAGGCTCTCTTGTATTCCATAGCTTCCCCCCTCCCCCAAGAATTCACCAACCTTCCTCCCGTCACTGTTTGACAAAACTGCGAGCGAAAGCAGGGGCAGGCAGTCATGGAGTCGAGTCAGGTTTGACAGTTAGTACAGTAAAACCTTATTTTAATAGACCAATTGTGGGTAGGGTCTGTTGCTGAAGAAAGTTGAACTGGAAAGTGAGATAACGTAGAGATTTATGTCATTTGTGCACAGGGTTATGAAGTTGCTACCCAAATTAGATGAATCAGAGCAGAATTTTGGTCTCTTGCATTGCAAAGTCTATTGTATCCTGGTCTGGCACAGTAAGATTTTATTGTATAAATAAAATCTACAATAGAAGATGTTGATAGGGATTTTAAAAAAGGAATGATTTTATCATTAAATGTATGACATGTTGAACTTTTAATGTGTTTTTATAACATTCCAAAGAAAGAATGTCTAGAGCAAACAAGACCGATCATCTTTATCCTTTCAAACGAGATAACTTTTTAAAATGCTGTGTAGTGAGAAACAGGCCGCTGTAATACCGGAGGAAGTTCTGAATGCAGTTGGGGACAAACCAGTCAGCAATGTAAACTTCAGCAAGAATAATCTGACTGAAATTCCAGCAAGGTACTAAGTTTTTATAGTTTTTAATATTGCTCTTTCTTACTGTGAAGAAATAATGACCCTAATTGGGACCAGAATTTCCGTCACTACGTGATGCAGTTGTTAGGAGAAACATTGCATGACCGCACACGCCTCTTAGCGATGGCAGTTCTATAATCCCAGTTGTAAATGTTAGGCGAGACCCATGTCATCATAAAGCAAGGACCTCAGGCTTCTGCTCTTTCCTGTAGTGCACACCCCCCACTACAACTCCCCCCAACCTGCCTTTCTCCCCCTCCCCATCTCTGCCCTTTTGGCTGCCTCATACTATGCTGCCCTGTGTTTTGCCACCCAGTGTTCCCTTGGTCCTGTTGCCTTGCTCTCCATTGCCCCTGCCTTCCCAGCTACCCTCCACTATACCCTGTAGCTTTATTTTCCAGATCTACACTGCCCCTGCCACCCTGGGCTCCATCCCCACCTCTCTGTACTTCCTGTGCCAGTGATGGCAAACCTTTTAGAGACCGAGTGCCCCAAAACTGGCCCCACCCCACTCCATCCCCTGCCCCGCCCCCGCTCCGCCTGCCTGCAGGGCCACTCACCGCCTCCAGGGCCCGCCACAGATTGTCCAGCAGCGCCATGGCGGCCACGCCCTCTGCCCGTGCCCCGCAGCATCAACTGTGCACGATGGGGCGTGAGGGCAGAGTCTTGTCTACTCTGTCAGGCTGCCATGTCCTTGGCTGCACTGCTCCGCGTGGGCCACACTCGGGGGCGACTCCTCCAGGGGGGCTGCTGGTAAGGAGGGGGTCGTGGAGGAGGCAAGGCTGGGGCAACGGCACATGTGCCCACAGAGAGGGCTCCGAGTGACGCCTCTGGCACCCGTGCCATAGGTTCGCCACCACTGTCCTATGCTTTAGCTGCACTGCCATCCCGCCGCTCCCACTGCTTTGTGCTCTACCCTGTACCTCCACTATCCTGCACTTCATCACGCTTAATGCCTGGTCTCTATAGCTTTCTGTCTCACTATGGGATGAAATGTAAGCTTTCAGATTTTTGTTTTTTTTCTAGTGTTTCTTAGCAATTGTCCATGTCCTATTCTCAAATAGTGTACGTTTACTTTACTTCGGATGGCATTACATTTTAACTATGAAATGTAGGCCAGTTTAAAAAAAACCTATAAAAGTTTAAATGCATTATCAGTATTTTTTAAAAAACCGCTCTAAATAATGCAGAACCTAACAACATCAATTAAATTGCTTGCTTATTTATTTATTTTTACAATTTCTCCAGGATTGTGGAACTAAAAGAATCTGTGAGCGATATCAATTTTAGTTTCAATAAGCTGTCTTCTGTTTCACTGGAGCTCTGTATGCTTCACAGGCTGACACATTTGGATCTCAGGTAAGCAATTCCTGAAAAATTTCAAAAGTGTATTTGAATTATAACTGTCTGAAGTTTTGTTTCCTCCCCAAATGGAAAAATTATTGAAAGAACTCAATTCAGAAGTGTCAGAGTAGGATAAAACCAATTCAGATGAGTCGCAAAGGGTCCTGAAAACGAACCTTTCTCTCAAAATTGCTAGTGTTATCAGGCAGGAATGTTTCAAAGGCTCAGCTTCATTTACTTCAGTGACAGAATTTTGGTCTTGGGATCCCTGATAAAGTACTCTGGTTGCATGAAAATTACTATAAATAGAAGCCCCCCTCAGAGGCTCCCTCTTAATATTTGGGCAAGACTTATTTGATTCTTATGAATCTGACTAATGTTGATTCAGATATGGTTGAAGTCCAAGATTATGTGAGAACCAGCATATTGCAATATATCAGATTAGAAGTGGGGAATTGGCTCTAGTTCACCTTCAGCCCTGGAATCGTACTGGTTGATTTTGGGCCAATTGCATTCTCTTCTACTACATAGGATTGTTATGCAGGAAAAAAATAAGTTTTGTACTATGCTTAGATACAAGTACATGCCAAATAAACATACTAATGCTGATGGCAATAATTTCCTCAACATCAAGAGGAGAAACTAGGCCAGGGGTATCAAACTCGCAACGTCACATGACATGTCGCGACATATCGCAACTTTTGCCATTGCCGGCAATGGGGTGGGCGCGGTTTCGCTATGGTGCATCCGGCCTGCGGTCTGGCAGTTTGACACCCCTGAACTAAGCCATACTTTGCATAATTTGAGACCCGCTTATTTATATCTATTCCCCTGGCCATGTAGAGTAGATACAAGTAGAAAGAACTCTTTGGAATTAGGCCAATGTTTCTTAACCCTGGCAACTTGATGTATGGATTTTAACTCCAGACATTTGCTAGTTGGGGAATTCTGGGAGTTGATGTCCCCAAATCTTCAAGTTGCCATGGTTGAGAAAAACTGAATTAGGCTATCTAGAGTAATTCTCAATCTTACTAACTGGAGGTTCCTAACAGGTTTTGAGAACAGCAGTTCTATTGTCTGACCCCAGAACTACCTTCTTTTCAAACTGAGGTATATTTATTTATGTTCGAAGGGAAACATCATTTTCTGTATGTTTTACATTACATAGTTCAATTTAAATATTAACATACAATAAAAGGTGATTGCTTTTCTGTTTGACAATTTAGAAATAACGTTTTGACATCTCTGCCAGAAGAAATAGAAGCACTGGCAAAACTACGGATAATAAATCTTGCCTTTAACAGGTAAATGCTCTTACAGTCTCTCCTTTTCATTGTGCGATATTATGTGGTGCTGCTATTTGTGTTTTGGAAAGCATTGTGCATGTATGTCACCCAACAAGTCTGATGTACAAACAGAATCAACGCAGGAAACTTTTAAAGAGATTTCATATTTGAAAAAGCCATCTTCTGACAGTGGAAATGCCTGTCCCATACAGTAGATGTCAAAATGTTATGTTCCCTTTCTCACTATTCTGCAATAATTTAAGATAGCTTCACATAGAAATTGATTGGCTAGGGACATTTATAGAGTAGTTAGCATGAAATCTGTTTGTCATTCAAAGATGAATTATACATAAAAACATTTGTTAAAGTAGCATCTTCTCCCATAAGCATTTTTCTGTAAAAATTACCTTCGGGTAAAATGGGTGGCCAATAAATTTGATAAATAAAATATGATGGGTAGGATCCAACCAGTGCTAATTGGTTTTTCAGGATACAAAATTCTGTTTTTAAATGACTTTATCATCTGAAATCACAGTTGGATTTTAACCATTAAAAATAATTCTATGTTTTTTATTCCTTATAATTAAGACTTTTATAAATTGCGTGTGTTTAGAGTGTGCTATATAGTAATCTCATCATTGATCACTCATCATGTTTTTTTCAATAAGGTGTCAAAAGAATATAGTTTGCTATGTTGGCTCTGTGTGATCACAAGAATTTAACAGTGTATTGTTGGTTCTGTTTCCACAGATTTTTTTTCCTTTGGTATAATCAAATTATTTCAACTTACCTATTTACTAATGAAATGTGTATGAATTTTTATAGATTTAAAGTATTTCCAAATGTCCTCTATCACATCCTGACCCTTGAAGCCATCCTTCTTGGAAATAATCAAATTGGATCCCTAGATCCTCAGCAGTTAAAGAAGATGGAAAAGCTCAGTACTCTAGATCTTCAAAATAATGATCTCTTACAGATTCCACCAGAACTTGGGAATTGTGAAAATCTCAGGTGACCACATGAGCTTTGAATATTTTTAAACAGCATATTTATTGTACCAAAATACTGTGCAGAAGCATTACAAACATTTATTGGGGCTTTTGCAGGGGGTTTACTGCTACATTGATGTCTGTTGAACTGCTTTGCTTTTATGTTTGAAAGTATGTATTATTTAATTGGATACGGAGTGTCAGAGAATATTCCGATCCTTAGGATAGTTTGCATCATTTTCAGTTAGAGATCTGCTTTGCCATGTGCTCCTATTTTTACTTAATAATTTGTTCAATTTGTTCAAATAAGTTCAATTGTTCCAATTTTGTAGTGTGTTAAGCTTATGGATTGTCTTCAAGGGCAGCCCCATGTAGAGTGCATTACAGCAATCCATGTGGAAGTGACCAGGACATGAGTGAATGAGAGTAGAGCCTCCGATCCAGAAGATTTATGTCCTATCAACCTAAGTAAATTCTTGAATATCGTATATGCCAAGTTCAATTTAATAAAAACCTCAGAATCAATTTGTTGGAAAGACCACGTCTAAATAAATTGAATTCTTTCCCCTGTGGGGAGTGAAGAGGACAGTGCAAACTCAGTCATCTGACGATTCCAAGTGATGGCTATGCAGTTAATTACCTAAAGTAGAGCAGTTCGGCTTTAAATCAAATAAACTGATAATTATTACTCAGAATACTAATAAGCCCCAAAGAAGGTTAAACTGATGCTTTTGATGTGTAGACCTTGTTTCAAGAATTTAGAATGGATTAGGGCTTTTTTCAATGTAGTAGGTTTCTCTTGCAAAGTTACACCTAAAAGCAAAGCTTGCAAGAAGATCAGTCAGTCAAAATATGAAGCTGATTTCAGGTCTGCCTTTGAGATAGAAAATAGACTTTAAAGAGAGATGCTGAGAGGACATGATTTCAAGAGTAAGCCTGTAGAGGAGAAACAGACATTTTAATAAGTGGCAAAGTATTACTGCAAGGTAAATAAGATTATATATACAATATTGCTGTTGAATGTTTAATCTAGCAAAATCCTCATGCGAATTCGGAAGCATTTTGAAGATGTTGATTCAGCTTTCTGCAGTTTGAATGAGAGGCGTCTCCATGGATTTCCCCTCTCCCTCTGCATTTTTCTGTATTCTTATAAACTCTGCATCCGAATGAACAGCAGTTCTAATTGGTTTCTGTCTTTCTCTTAGAGTACTTTTACTGGAAGGTAACCCTTTCCGAACTCCCCGAGCAGCTATTCTGGCTAAGGGGACAGTTGCTATCCTTGAGTATCTGAGAAGCAGGATTTCTACTTCATCTGTTGCTGCTGATGTGAACTAAAAAGTGTGCAACATCTTACTTTCTGAAGAACAAAGATCATGGCGTTTGTTGTTATGAGAAACGTAACTTGAAAATGCATATGCCAGGAAGTTGCTTATAGGGTTCTCAAAGATTTTAGTCTACTGCAGGCTGTCCTCGGGGCCATACTTGTATGGCATATGTTTGGGTGATTGATATGTGACTCTACACAGCAAAAGCAAATGGTTGCTTATGGCCTTCTCCCCCCTCAACATATATATTTTGTATGGACATGTTCTAATTTTCTACTTGGTACTTCTCAGCCATTTAGAATTCTGTTTGTTTATATGTTTTAAGAGCACCAAAAATGTGTTTGCTATTCATGTATACAACATTAAGGCTTTGGTCCGAAGGCTGTTAGAGAAGAAGTGCAAGCTAAAGATTTGCTTGCCATTGGTATTTTGGTACACGAATGTAATATGTATTTTAAAATCAGATTCAATTTCAAAAACAGCATTTATACATGTTTACAAATGCAAAGAATATTTATGGAACAAAAATATCCTCAAAGTATCCTCAACTTTGGGGCTGGTAGGCTCTCATGGTTTTTGTGAATTTCATAGGCATCATTGCATATATTAGTTTTGTAAGATGTAAACTGATGAGGTTCCTTTCATATTTTTCGTCACATATATCACATTGTAAATACCCTCTACCTTCCTTGTATTCTGTCCTCTCATATGTTTTTTTTCTTAATTGGAATGATACACATGATCCACTTATTTCATTGTGGTATTCTGTTTGGCTTGCTTTCAGATTATTTTATTCTGATACAAAGTCTCTGTCTGAGTGAGAATTCCTGACAAATTCTAGTCCTGAAATACTAAGTAAACATTCAGTTAATGGATGAGTTGAATCACCAGTGTTACGACTAAAGTTTTAATTCCTTGTATAATACTATCTGTTCAACAATATATGGAATTGTTTATTTGTTTGATGCTGGCGAGTACTGAGGGTAATTGTGAAAGCTACAGTCCTAATTGAATCAAGCTTAAGAGACAGCTGGTTCTAGCTGAGGGTTGAGCAACTATGGCCCCTTTACAACCTGTGGATTTCAATTCCCAGAATTCCTGAGCGAGGAATGGCTCCTGGCTGAGGAATACTGGGAACTGAAGTCCACAGGTCAGAAAGGGGCCATAATTGCCCAACCCAGTCTAGCTTCCTCCCATACAGCCTCACCTCTGCCTAGCCCAATCAGCTGTTCCAGTAAAGGGTGATTTCTCCAGAATCTTGATATTAGATGCTGGCCATTGATACACTAAATGAAGGCCTATTTTAGAGAAAGATAAAATGTGCTGATTGGATGTCTTCTTCTGTCTGTATAATAACAGTAAAATGTTTCGGGTTTTCTAAATATGCTGGGAGGAATTCTTACAGATCAAAGAGGTGCTTCTGGGCATTAGTTGAAGTCCCCAACAAGTAAGTGCTCCTATGTGAAGCAGTAGACACTGACTTTTTAGCAGCTAGGAAAATAAGGATAACATAAAAGCTACACTAGTGCATTAAATGTGTGTGTGTGTGTGTGTATGAGAGAGAGAGACAGAGACAGAGAGAAAGACTCCACATCCGCTCAGCTCTGTCAGAAGCTTTCCACCCTATATGAACTTTAGCTACAGCAGGATCATCAACCTTCAAAATTCAAAAACCCCAGGAGACCAAATGTTCTCTCTATGGTGGCAGCTGCTGGGAAAGTAGCCTTTAAGCTGCACTTTTATGTTTCAAACTATGCTTCGGATCAGGGGTCTTCAAACTTGGCCCTTTTATGACTTGTGTACTTCCAACTCCCAGAATTCCTCAGCCAGGCACAAGTCATAAAAGGGCCAAGTCTGAAGACCCCTGCTTCGGATAAACTTGGGAGTCTTAAAAAAATTAAAAATAAGTGTGAAACCGAGTACAAGTAAAACCAAAGTTCCCACGAGAGACGTGCTGCTGATTACTGATACTTGCTTTCTGTGGGGGATAAAAGATTAAATTGTTGCAATACATTGCTCTGAAGGCAGAATGTTTACAATAAGGTGACTTTATTTATACAATAGACTTTTTAATATATTATTCAAAACACTTTTTTTAAATACTGAAAAAATTTGAGTACATCAAAGCCGAAAATGGCTCTGCTATACGCTGCACAGCATTGTTTGAGTCCCTGTATTCTTTTTATGTACAGAAAGCATCTGCAAAATGCATTCTAGACACAATATACACCTTACTAGTTAGTGTCAATACGCAAAGTAAAATGGAAAAGATACTATCTGTATGTGCAAATTAAAGATAATTGATTTCACTGAATCAATTCATTTAAAATATAGCTTTAAAGTACTTTTTCACATAAAATGAAGCAGCTTTCAAGTTCAGTAAATCTGTATACTGCAAAACATTGAATTACATTCACAATCTATGTTAAAGTAGTAAATGATTCTTCAGCCTTATTTACAATGATACTGTAATTAAACTGAAAAGTATTTTGTCATATAGCAATCTTTTTAACACATACAAAAATGACAGTTCTGTATATAATTTAAGCTCAAAATCACAATTGTTTCAAAATATTAATTACAATACAGCTATCTCTATAATTCAACATGTGTTTTATAAAATGGTAAAATTTGTAATAAAGTAAGTTGTTGGTTTTTACTTGATTACAGTACCCACAAGTAGAAAAACGTAACTAATAAGTCTTTGTCTTGCCCAGTGTTAAGCCACTTAAGCTAGCAAAGAGGCAGGAAAGGCCCCGATTTATAAAAATTCAGCCTCTTGTGCTGAACTGGTGTGGCTTATTGATGTTCAGAATAAAACTTCACAAAGGGCCATGAACATTCTAGATGGAATGAAATGGTGAGGAAACTTTAATGCACATTTAAAGTTCATAAAGGTTAGCAACAGTAGTCTGAATTCATTTAAAAAAAAAATAATCCACCATCAAGAATTTGTGTGCTGAGGCAAATATTCTTAGCCTCTGGGTGTCGCTGTGGGATTTCTCAATCAGGATGACCCTTGTAGTAAGTACATAAAGTGAGTTTTTAAACCACCAGCAATGCATTTTTAAAAAAAATTAATTCTAATTTCTGATTTAAAAATCGCTTTAATACTTGTCTCCTGTTTGGAATGCAGGGTAATAAAGGCAGACATCAACAAAAGGCAAAATATTCTAGTAATTCCGAATGAATCTTTAGATATTTTACTAAAAAGAATGTTTTATAAATCCTAGTACTCTTCAATTTCACCTTTTACTTTAGGAACATGAAAGTTACAAGCATGGAAAACTTCAGCTGGTCATTGGAAATGGTTGCTGTTGGTGTGATTGAATCTTACCAATACAGTAGCTCTTCTCATTTGCTTGGCCATTTTGAAAAAAAGGCATGCATTGTTGCCAGAAACCGAACTCAAAACACAAGCTAGCTCAGTACAATGCTTATCTTTTTACTGAGAAATAGGAGGCATGAGATTTACAGTGAGGTGGGGTTTTTTTTTTTTAAGACATTTCATTACCCAAACTAGGTAACATCATCAGTGCTATATTTGTTACCTAGCACGGAATGAAATGTCTGCAAGAAAACAACCAAGCTCAGAGAGTACCAAGTACACCTCATTTCAACCCTGAGCTACAAATATTTTCGTTTATAGGTTTACAGCGATTAAATCTTCATGAAAAAAAAAATAGATTCAAATTCAAAAATCTGTCCCAATGTAATGTATGAGGTCCTTAGTGCAAAAGGATGCGCTGAAGCAATGATATAATAGCAAAGTCATAATAAATCTGATACTGCCATGCAAAGCTACCAAGGGAATCTGTCAGCCTCAAAGTGAAGGAAGACAATCCTGACAAAACTGGGAAGTTTGACAATACGTTTTGTGAGAGATTTTAAACGGTACTCGCCATTGGCAGCAAGGGCAAAATGGAATTCACAATAGCAAAACGGTTCACTTTCCTAACCATTGTCCTAATGTGCCTTCCTTATTAATAGTTAATTGTATCTTATTACACTAATATTTACACATGAATTAAAATTTTTACATCATTTGTACGAGAAGAACAGAAGTCTAATTTTAAACCAGTTGCAATTTTTAAAGAGGTGCTTGTATGAAAGGATAACTTTAAAAATTGCTGCCTAGATCATTCCTTGCACTTAGTTGATTTGTTTTTTTTTAAAAATGTCATCCCTGACAAAATGATTCCATGTGCTACTTGCAAGGTGGTGTTTACAAATTTATTGTACCTCCTAAAATGATTCCGTACGGCATCTGATTAACTAGATTGCTTTTTAGATTACTTTCTATAAATAGTCCTGGGAAGAAAATCCGTAAGAGGGGTTCTGAGAGCAAAAGCTTGCCTAAGACCACTCTGTACAGCATCTGTTAACAGGCAAATTGGCCTAGCTGCAGGCACAGATGCAAACCCATTTGTTCTCCGTACAGCAAAGTCCTATTTCTCAGAAGGGGAGGGGTGTCCAAAAACAGCTGCTCTGCTGAGTGGAAGCCAAAAAAACCAGAGCTGTCTGTCTTTCCTGGTTCTTTTAATCACGCTTTAAGGCATGTTTGGGCAGAGCGCCTTTGTATATAGTCAGGCTTGGCTAGCACAACTGTCACCATGGAAACAAATGCAGCAAAACCCAATTTGAATGAGAAGTAGAAGCTGAAGGGAGCAGTTGAGCTTCAGCTTCTGCTTTGGAATTCGCAGGAGCCTTTAAAAAGCCAAGATGACTGAATAGATTTGCTCGGATTACCTGTTTGGAAGCGGGAAGGGAGATTTTAGCTATATAGTCTCTGCTCGGTGTTTTTCAGAACTGTCTAAAGATCATTGTGGGACTAGTGACATACATGGAGTCCTTCACAAATTGAATAAATGTTGTATACTGTGTGAAGCACTATATTTTCTTTATCACCGCCTTTCATTCAGGAGCTCAAAGTAGGGTATGCTTTCCCCCGCAGCAAGAACCCTGTCAAGTAGTTTGGGCTGAGAATGACTGTCTGAAACCCACCCAATCAGCTTGCATGATTAAGGGTAGACTTGAATCTGGGTCTTCTGGTGCTGGTCTAACAGGTTAAGATCACACATTATTCCTTATCCAATGCTCTGTAAACTTAAGGAGATGGGAAGAGAGAAAGATTTCCATACTTAACCCTTCTTCCAAACTACACTCCCTTTTCTGACATGGATGTTTAACAGAACTCAGCTGGATGTGCCATACTTGGGTCGAAGACATCTGCCGTTATCCTCAGGTCTGTTTCTTAGTCCCCAACCTCTGCATTCCCCCAACTGTATGGTTGCAAGATGGGAACTTCTAGCTAGCTCTAGTCAGCTTCAGAAGGACTACTAGGACATGATGAAATGTGATAGTAAAGAAAACATGAATTGGCTTTATACTCACACTAAACCTGAGCAGAAGTAGGGAATAACGTTTTCTTAATGATTTCATGCCCTTCAAAAAGGCAGACTCCCTAAAGCTCCCTAAATAACATAAACATTGTTCTGTTGGGGGAAAGCTGTCCATGTATGGTAATTAATCCAGCACTTGGCTTGGAAATGCTGCGCTCACTGCTTTATGATGCCATTTTTCCCCCAATAAAGGATGACCAAAGCAAGCAATGCTAATTAGGACATGCATCATAATGCACTTTTCCAAACTACATGTTGCCAAGGTGCAATTGTGCTTTTAAGAAGTGTAGTGATTTTACACGTCGCAATGCTGATTTCAATACATTAATTTATATTGGCATTTTAGAGAAAAAGCAATGCAGTCCCATTTTCCTTACAGAATTAATCTCTGAGACAAATCTACATGATTTCTGATTGGCTGAGATGATTCAGTAATTAAGAGGAAAAGAAGGGCTACTTAATGCTCTTTTTTTAAAAAAAAGAAAATAGCAGAACAAAATCATGGATAAAATGGATAAAATGTAGAAGCAAAGGATCTTTGCACTCCTGCAAAGCATTTTTTTTCTTAAAAATTCAGCAGAGCTCAAATTTATATTGTGAATTATTTAAATGTTTTTTATCGCTAGGAAGATAGCATATTAATTTTGTACAAGATTGTTATAAAGGATTAGGGAAAAAGTATTAATAAATATCAACTTGTTACATAATTAATTTTCTACTCACTTTGAGATAACCAGTTATTTTTGTTAGGAATGAATAATTCCAAACCAAGGCCTCTTATTTAAACCATAGTGTATCTATCTTTGGAATCAAATAAATTTCCTTCCCACACAGAACCTGCAATAATATTTTTAAACAATAAAGTTAAATCTCATCTAAACAAACACTATTTTTTTAAAACAAACATTGCCATTAGTCTAAATATTATATGGATTAATCTGTGAATTTCTATTTACTATGTCCTCACTTCTAAGTCAAATTGGAAGCTCATAGCAAAATTCATATCCCCCCCTTGAATATTTAGTATTGTTAAAGCCACCCCTTTATTTGCACATTGTGTTAATATGCACATTGTGGGATCTCTTTCCTATTTAATAAATTTTTGGTATGGACATTTTTCTGCACAGAAGTCTTTTACACCAATTTTCTAATTTGACTCTAGAAACAATACACAAAGTTGGCAATGAAAATGATCACCTGTTCGGAGTCCAGGAAGGGAATAATACTATTTCTCTTACTAGGTTGGTTGCGTATTACAGACAAAGTGGAGATATTCTCCATAGCAGCATGGTATTCAGAATTCAAGAAACAGCCTACTTTATGATCACACACAAATTGTGAAAAAAATGAAAGTTTTCTTGATCTTCTCTCCTTATTCAGACAATTATCAGACTCTTGGGCTAATCAATCTGTGGCAAATTTTTGAACTCCTGAATTCCAAAGTTGGGCTTGTTTTCAAAGTCCTTTGGCATGGTAAAGATTGGATGTATGGTGGAACATTTATGCACTTACGAAATTTCTATATCATGGCAGTCAAAAACTCTTGGCAGTTTTCAGATGTCTGACATATTTGCCTTACAAGAATATTCAATTACATACTTTCTTAGATTATGTGAGGGGCAACAAAATACTTGTATTTCCTTTCCTTCTTATCACTGTGTTCAGAATTGTAACATTCTAACCCTGTCCGTATTTGAATGTTCTGGTAACTCAAAGTAACATTACATTCATCTGATGAAGGTGGACTACAATCCTTGGAAGCTTACACCAGTTTGTCTAATTTAGCGTCTTCTAAACATATAGCCCATAACTGCCAGCATAAACAGAGGTTGGGATGCCTGGAGGTTATGGAAGTTGTAGTCCAAACCATCCACAACCCATCAGCCAGGATGATACAACATACAGTATCTACTGATGTTCCTACGAAACATCAATAAATACTGTTACTATTTTTGTGATTTATACTGTAAGCTTCTTTGAGGTAAATACTGGAAAGGAAATATATGTTTTTTTAATAATTAATTGTGAGCATAGCAAAGCCTGGTTTTGCCAATGTAGACTCCTATTACTCTCCCAAATAAATTTAATATTATTTTAAATTTGATATTGCACTCTTCAAAGATATATATGTATTTACACTGTAAAAAAGGGAAAACTGAAAAAGCTAACAGGTCTGCAGTGCAACTCCAGACCTATTTCTACAGAAGTGAATCCCATTAAGTTCAATTCTCATGTTACTGAATATAGAACTACTAAAATATTCTTTATAAATAATTTATATCCAATGTGAGATAGAAATACTTTATGGGAATTATAATTTTATATAATTTTCTTTTTAAAAACATAAACAATTGTGAGGCAGTAATTTTGATGGAGACTAAGATTTGTAAAGAACTTGTGTGTGTTTCTGTGTCCTGAAATAAAGACACCTAGAAACAATTAAAAAGAATATTTTAAAAATAAGCTGGTACCAATGCATAGCCAGAGACTTACAAAGAAAAATAATACATAATCACTTGGAAGTTATATTTATATAGTTATTTTTCCCCAGAGTAATCATTACTAACATATAATATTATACATTTGGCACTATATTTGCCATTGGTCCAGCAATTGGCAAAAAATGTTAGGCATATTTTATTATTTATAAAAAAATATTTAGACAGTGAGCTCACGTTGAATAACTAGGTCTACTGTATTCTGGAAACTCTTCAGCAGTAATACAGCTTTTTCATGTTCCATATGTACAAAACTGTGTCCATTTGCCTGCAACAGACAAAATAGAAAAAAAGTAAGTGTTTTAGAATTTAGTAACATGGGACATATAGTTTAAAGCTCAACCACTATCCCATGATATGGTATAATTTTGAAAAGCAATGCCATAGAACAGTGTTTCTCTACTTTGATCACTTTAAGATGTGAGGACTTCAATTCCCAGAATTCCCCAGCCAGCATCATTATGACATGCTGTGAAATTTGAACAGATGTTTGAACCTCCAACATCTGTACAAATTTTACAGCATGTCATTAAGCAATCATCAACTTTATTTTGAGGTCTTTCCCATATTATGCCAATAGAGTTGTATTTTGTTTGTCTAAGTAATTTGTTCAGTTTAGAGAAGCCATTCCCAGCATTGTACTCTCCATGTCCTTTTAGAATTCCCATCATCATGCTCAGTAGCTCATACTGAATTCTCTGTAAACATGTCAGATGAGGATGAGCTATGCATGCATTGGTCTTGTTAAAAAAAAAGTAATTTGCTGCTCAAAATGCTCTGCGTGCAAGATATTTACTTATTTACCCTTCCTTATTGACTAAGCAAAGACCCCCAGAGGAGCTTGAGAATGCTGAAACAATTTAAAAGTCTTAAACAGACTGGTCATGGACATCAACTGATTTGGAATATTTTCGGGATGTCCTGTGTAGCTCACAATGCTTTGAAAAAAAACAAAACCTTGCCTCATAATTGTGAACAACAGACCCAACTGCACAGTCTGGCATTTGCTTCATCGTACAAGCCATTAAGTACTCATCTCAGGGATTGCTAACTAGCAAACAAGTTCTTAAGCAAATTTTCTTTTGATTTTTATATATGTATGTCTATATCTATATCTATATCTATATCTATATCTATATCTATATATCTATATCTATATCTATATCTATATCTATATCTATATCTATATCTATATCTATATCTATCTATCTATAGACAGATATAGATATAGATAGATATGCATATATATGTGTATATATATATATATACACATACATACACACATATCTACTATATACATACATATATCTACTATAAACATACATATATAATATCTATATCTATATAACATGTGTGTATCTAGCAATTATCTACCCATTTACCTATTAGCACTGAGCAATAACACTTAAGACTTACGTATATACCGCTTCGCGGTGCATTACAGCCCTCTCTAAGCGGTTTACAGAGTCAGCATGTTGCCCCCAACAATCTGGGTCCTTATTTTACCGACCTCGGAAACATGGAAGGCTGAGTCAGCCTTGAGCAGGTGAGAACTGAACTGCTGGACTGTTGGTAGCCAGCAATCAGCAAAAGTAGCCTGCAGTAATGCATTCTAGCCACTGTGCCACCACGGCTCCTATTATCATTATCTATCGATATCTATCTATCTAATCTATCTTATCAATTATCTCAAGTTCTAAAGAGTAAAGCTGCCTTTAAGCACAACCCTAATTTTAATATAGTATACTATCTGGAGGGTATTAGAATACAGCAGAAGTCACTATTTTCATCATGTTTTTCCCACAGTTGTTTCCAAATTCCATCAAGAAAACAGAGGAAGAATCAGCAGAACAACAAAAGTAGATAATGGCATTGCATAAAACTGGGCTCAGTTAAATAATCCTAGGAATTTCCCATTTAGTGAACTCCAACAGCCACTTTCCAAAATCATTCCTACTTGTTATTCCAGGCTGGAAAGATTTTGAATTCAGCACAAATTCTAAACCAACTATGTCTTTATGGCTATTTAGGAACAGAATAAGCCAGGTCACAGAGTTAAATTTCTGAACCAATTGCTTACAACAGCTGTGTCATATTCCAAATAGCCTTTATATCAGACCAACATTTCATATGCAAAAAGCAGAAGCCTATCAAATGCTCAGTGTAAATGGAAAGAAGCAATCTGCGCCAAGACAAGTTTCCCCAGCCCCAACTGTGTAGTCTGAATTAGTGAATATCTCTAATCAGGAAGAGGGATATTTTGGGGAAATGTGTGTTTAATATTCCTATTTAAATTATTGAGATGTCCTAAGGCTGTATCATCTAGGACAACTATTTGTGGAATATGGAATTTATTTCTGAAAGCATGACTAACCTTAATTTACTCCAGAATTTTCTAAGACTTTGGTTTTATTAGATTAGCATCTACATGCAAAGTGTAGCATTTTTATTTGAGCATTCTAACAGCACGCATGGTTGAAGCAGTCCGGTCATATTACTTGCATAATTGCTCATTTGAATGAAGAATGTGAGTTTCATGCTTTATGCTTGGGTCAATCTCAACTATTTCTAATAATCATTGCAATGAATACCATGTTTTGTAACTCAAGTTTTATTTTTTAATTTATTCTTATGCAGGTTGTAGTTCAGAATTCTAATTTATATATACAGTTTTTACTCCTTAGCTTTGGTTTAGTAACAGTTTGGGAACTAATAGCACAACCTAGGTGTAACTGGTGTACAAGGTGGCTATTTTAGAGTTTTTAGTTGGTATGTTCCCAATTCTCCTTCACCTGTCCCACACATTCCATTTTTATACTCTCTTATGATTTGAACAAAGCACTTTTTGTTTCCAAAACTGTGCATTCAAATTCTGGCTCAGAGGCAAACTAAACTGTAGTTGGTCAGTTTGCTAGCATGACAATTTATAGTTTGTTCAACTCTATATGGAAAAGAGATAAATGCAAAGACAGGAGGAAATCAATAAATGCAAAAGCCATTTAAGAAAAAAAAAGTTTTTCAATGGAATAATTCTTTTCTTTAGTTCAGGTCTGAGCACCATACTTGGATCAGAAAGCTTTTGTTTAAAAAAAATATCAGATTGTAATCATATCTCAGGTATCTTGCGTGTGTTAAGACAATCCACTTAATTTCTGGTTAGTGGGATAGACAATATTATGTTGGCTTGCAAAGTAGACTTTAGCGATCCTGACATGAGCATGCTTGAAATAAAATTACATGTGGCAAAACTATAGCTAGCATAGCTGGTAGTATAACTTTATCATTAGCAGAGTGAGCTTCATATGGCAAGGATATAATTTGAGGCTGACACCTAAACTTTCTTTTATTCAGAGTGTTATATGAAAATTGTGGCTGCTCAAAGCCATAATATGAAATGAATAGGTTTGAATAATGGGATAATTTGCATGAATATGGAGTTGAAAGCTGATTGCTTAATGTGACAAGAGCAGTATATGAAGAAACAATGTGTAAGACTTAATGCAATGATGAATAAGTGGTTCAACACTCAACACAGAATATGACAAGAATACAACAATGTACCAGAGAGTGTTTGATTTATTTTTGAGTAAATGTATAAAAAGAGTTTTTGGTTTGTTGAGGACATGTATGTGTGTGTACTTTGACTACAAGATAATGCTTGCTGCAAAGAACCTAATATTTACAGCATTTGTTAGACTCTTTTGCAATGAGTATTGATATGAAATCAAGGTAGTCACGTCTGATAATGCCATTGGAGTAAATGATTGCAAGTAATATGTGCATTGTGAAAAACTAAAGCAAATAGCTAATTTGTGTACCCTGGTAGAATGTTTACTAAAGTTGGGAGATGCTAGACATGTAAATGATGGTAAAAAAGGATTTTATGTGCTTGTTGAGAGAAATGAACGTTTGTCAAAGGAAATAAATATGTGGAAGTGAGTGTTGGATGGGAATGCATTATTTCAGAACTTTATATAGAAAACAAGAAAAAATAGAGTTAAGTAAAACTAGGTGCTGAATCAATGTGGATTGAATATAGGAAAGAATTATCAACATAAAAATATGTAGAGATAGTTGGATATATAGAGACTGAATTAGGATGTAATATTAAATTGCAAAAGAATATATGAAGTAATAGTGGTGTATTTAAAAAAAAGAGGAAACTCAAGACTGTTATGGTTCAATGGAGTTGATGAGGTTCTCAAAGAAAGACAAGACTTTTCTAAAGAAGAAAAGTCAGTGTACTGACGTGATAAAAGCAAGGGTGGTTTAAAGATTAAAATAGAATGCACGAGTAGTCTACGGTGAATGATATTGACCAAAACTAGATTTAGCTAGTTCTTTAGCACTGTTCTTTTTCTGCACTTTTCCTTCCTTCCTTCCTTCCTTCCTTCCTTCCTTCCTTCCTTCCTTCCTTCCTTCCTTCCTTCCTTCCCTTCCTTCCTTCTTTCCTTCCTTTTTTGTGTTTTCAACGTAGTCTTTGAAATGGGCAATATGAAAAAATATTATTTATACAATGGGTGAAATTTTAAAAGAAATATAACAATGTGGTCTTGGTTTCTTTTATTCAAATTCTCTTTTTTTATGAGTTTCTTTGAGTTTGATGCAATATACAAGCTCTCAAGCTCTCATAAAATCTATAACTATACACAGAAGCACCTGTCCTATTTCAATAAAAATGACGCTTTAGATAATGACTGTGTTTCAGAGCCTTCTATACTTCTTATCGTTATTTATTTATTTATATCAAATATATATGGCCAGCCATCTCACAAATGCAACAATATAATAACAACAAAATATAATTATTATTAGATTACTATTTTTAATTGCACTGATTGATAGAGAAGGTTATCATAGCAAGTAATAACAGGTAATGAAACTTACTGGATCTTGAAAAAGGTAAGAGGATTGAATCTCATTAAGATTTATGTTAGGTGGGCAGCTATCAAGAAATTCCAGACTAATTGAGGAAATAAAATAGGTGGCAAATTACTTCTGTACTGTCAAGAAAAGAAATATGGACATGTCCATGTAATTACTAGAAATCTACTTTATAATGTGTATATTTAGATTTATAAATTTATAATCTATGGATTTATACAATTTATAAAAATTGTTAATACATTAAAATTATTACAAATATACTGAGATGTGTTATCATTCTGTTTGCAGATAGCTGATACCTTGTGTTACTCAAACATTTTAGCTTTAAGTTTCATTGTTTATAAAAATTTGCTAATGATGGGGAACTCAGCTCAAAATAAA